GCTCTGAATTGTAACATACAAAACTCAATAAAACAAATATATTATTTAATTTCAAATGCTTTTATTTGCTTTTAGTTGTTTTTATGAATATGGACAATATTTTCTGAAAGCAAAAAAATTTTTCGATGAAAATGAATTTTTAATACAATTATTTGTTATTTCATTAATTATAATAGATTTTACATTTAAGTTGTTAAAATATTATAAAATTAGTTAAAAGCCGCATCGGCTTTCATAAGTGTCCTTATGAGATAGATCTTTTTTTAGCGCGTTGTAAATTGTATCATTTTGACTAATCAGAAGATACCCAGTAATTAAATGTAATTTTGTGCTTATAATCGAGCTGTAATTATAAAATACGGAAGACCAACCAGAATATAATTAAGTTGCGTTATTTGAGTTAAGCATTGTTCTCCGCTGTTAAGACCTTTACTTTTGCGAAACACGTGTGGAGAAGTTAATTTGATTTTTCAATTTCAACTGAGAAGGGTACCTACAAGTATCAGTATCATCTTATGAAATTTATATGATCTTATTTTTATATTAATCTCAGTTACGACATTTTTCCATAAATGAAATATCAAAATTAATAATAAAATGAATGCAAAATACAAATAACAGTAGAATGTAATAAATGTACATAAAATTATAGTATTTTATGTACAATTTGATAAAATTTCATAAGAAAGGTACCTATAAATTAATTAGATACCTTTCTTAAGAAATATGAAATTTAATGTCACTCTTAACAGTTTTATTTTAATTTCTTTACAATATATTTCCCATAAAGCATCATAAACGTAAAGGTGAAAGCTAAGTACAAAAAAAAAAAAAAAAATTAGACCGCTGAAAGTTTTCGTTAAAAATAACGGGGTAAATAATTTGTTCACGTAAATGTAAATTATTTCACTTTTCTCCTTCCGTAGAACAAATTAGCCTCATGGAATTCGTAAATATATCATTCATCACATGTCAAGAGACGCGAAAGTTTATGACCTGCTTTGTTTTATTTTCAAATTACATCTTTTTGGCACAAAAGCTAAGTTAAGTTTGGTTTAAAATATTTTAAATAAACATTATAATTTCTGATTTTCTTAAAATAAGTTTTGAAAAATGATAATTGATATTTAAAAAATTTCAAAGTCAGATTTCATTTTTTTTTTTAAAATGGAAAAAAAATGGTCAATTTTGCTGACTCAAAAAAACTAGATTTTAACGAAAAGTTCGGACGTGCTAGGAACGATTAAAAATGGAAAAAAATACCCCAAAAATACTTTGACCTTTCCTCTTAATAATAACAAACATTTAGACGATAAAATTTTGTTTTCGTCAAGTTTGGCGTCTTTTTCATCATGCTATGCTCTTTTTTTTTTAGCGATCTCGTGGAGGTACCTAGCATTACTTCACGGTGAAGCGCCCAACTAACTGCGAAGAATGAAGAGTTCTTCGTTCAATCATTTCCCAGAATCTGGCCAGATCCCCTCAGGAATTATTTGAAATGACTTTGTAGGACCGAGAGTTTTTCAAAGCCCTCTTTTGTAGTTGTGGGACAAGTATAAAGTACACAGTTAAGAATGAACACCTACTCATTAATTTATTTACAAGAGCATCTTTATAAGTATTACACCGGCAGTTTACAGCGATTTACTAAGCATAGCTTAGATCTGGCACAAGGTTAAAAATATGGCGCACTCTAAGGATCTAACTCTGTACACGACCCTAGCGAAACAGGTGTGCTAAGCATTGCACAACGTTGAAGTGCCGCGATTTTTTATATATATATATATATATATATATATATATATATATATATATATATTTAAAAAGACATATTTTTATGTTTAACGTTGTTATTTTATAGATAAAAGTGAAAAAGCAAATGCTCTTTTATTTAAACAGTAAATTAAATAACATTTACCGGCCTGAAAACAGAGAAATTTTCTTAAATTTTTGTTCTTTAAAAAACAGTTTATCATAAACATAAAATTATGTCTTTATTAAATAAATTGTCGGACCTTGTCCATTTTTAAATATATATATATATATATATATATATATATATATATATATATATATATATATATATATATATATAAAATTTATCTTAGCAAGCTTGATAATGAAATGGAACTTTGTATTTTAAGTTTAATTTTTATAATTGAATTTGAATTGAAGTTTCAGTTTTGAAACCTGGGAATTTCGTTGTTGCGATAATATATTTTTTAAAAATCTTATATATTTTCTTTGCTAAAACAGGACTCCCAATTAGCAAAAATAACCCACTTACGTGTTAACAAAAAATGCTTTTCTGCGATATTTTTAAACTAAAAGTAATACTTGTTTAAAATCAGATTCATTATACTTTAAATCGGCTAATCTTCCTCAAATAAAGTTTCAGAAAAGTATACTTTTTAATTTTTTTTTTTTTTTTTTTTTTAAGAGAATTACGTTGTGTTGAGACAATTGTAAATATTGATAAAATATCGATTTAAATTTGTCTTTAAATACAACACAGTATTTTGCTTCTTGGAAATATTAAATTAGTTTGAAATTAAAGCTAAAATAAAAGCTTCATATTTTTTCTTTTGAACGTACCTACTTGTATAATTTAAATGCAATAGACATTAAATTTAATTATCTCTTTTTTTTTTTTTCTAATGTCTTTGGCAAATATGTTGTGTGGATAAATTGGCCCAAATTCATTTTGTGTAGTCTAAGCTTTCGACTAGCATGAGTTATCCTCAGGGCGTGTGTAAGAAAAGAAAACTGGGTATTGTTTTTAACGATACCAGTTTAAAAAAACAATTGCTGCCTAAATATACTGAATTTTAAATGCATAAAGTTTTTTCTTCGCTTGTATACGTGTAGGTTTGCTATTATGAATTCAGGTGTCTTTTTAGTTAGCAAAATAGATTGAATTAGCTGATTTTACTACTTTTATAATCAAGTAGATATATTTCTATTTTTATATTTTTTTTTTTTTTTTTACATTGACTGGCGTTCAATTTTCATATATTAACATATCGTTCGACTGTCTTTGAGAACAAATTTTACGGGCATAATACAACCTCCAAATAAAGCGAGTCATCGATATATTATAAAACTTTTCTCAATATTTTTATTTTTTCATAAATGTCAAGATTATTAAACACAAGACATAGCTTTATTGTTGACGCATGAAAAAAAGACTTCTTAATTTCACCCAAACCACGTGGCACACATACCACAGCTAATCACGTTTTAATTTTCTTTATTAGATGTATCTATCTGTATACACATAATATATAATTTTCTTTTTCTTTTCGAAACTATAAATATGCCTAAAAATTAAAAACTTTACGTGTAGAATTGATTTAAGTTTTCAACCGTAGTCATTTTATTATTTAATACCCGTTCGTTGCAAGTGGTAACCTTTCCAACAAAGGTCACGCCGAACGCAATAAGCAGTAGAATGAAAGAATATAGGATTACACACTATAATCACTTCAGAATAAATTGGACACGTCGAAAGCAAACCCAAATCGATAGTGATAGTAGTAAAAGTTGAATGAAACTATGTTTATATTATCTTTAGGTCATTTTGGTCCTGGCATCTCGGCTTCAGTCACTTTCTCGCTATCGGAACGTAGCCTTTTCGATATTTTCATGGTATTTACATTATTCGGACTATTGTCCTCATCTTTGTCGCCATATTTATCACAACGTTTCGGTCGTTGTACGCTCCGGCCTTCTTCAGGTGGTTGGAATTTCGAACTGAACCCTTTATTTCGTTCACTGAGGTAGACTGTTCTAGTTCCACGTGCCATGTTTTGATGGATGTCAGTTATCAGTTATCTCCTGCTAATTTCCCTCTGAAAGTTCTCCACTGCCTTAACCGGGTAATGAACTCACACTGTTTGGGTCCTGTCACTGAATCTAACCAACGCCTTTATCCACTGTGCCATGTGTCCTTGAAGACAACCACCTGAAGAAGGCCGGAGCGTTAAACGGCCGAAACGTTGTGATAAATATGGCGACAAAGATGAAGACAATAGTCCGAATAATGTAAATAATGTACATAATACCTCATCTCAGAAATATAGACAGACTTTCATGGTATTTGTTGTGATGAGCTTTCCTTTTTGGTACCTAGGCTTTCGCGATGCAATTCTGAGAGAACTGGAAATCCCACCAGGATTCATCATTGGCAGCTACAATCTTAACATAAGATACGCAGATGACACAGTGCTGGTAGCAAATACAGGAAGGAAATTACAAAAATCTACAGAAGGTAACTAAGGAGAGCGAGAAGAAGGGACTAGACATAAAACTACAAGAAGACAGAATGCATAGTCACCACTAAAAAGATGAGCCCGAAAATGCGATTTACAGGTCGAGTACACTAAATCCGGTACGGAAATTTAAATATCTGGGAAGTTTTCTAACAGAGGACGGTAATTGTGACACTGAGATCCGAAGACGTATTGGGATGGCCAAAGACTTATTTCAAAAGCTAAGCAGAGTATTATGGAGGATTTCGTTGGTAATAAAGAGTACTGAACAGCTACGTAAAATGCCTTTCTTCACGTCAGTTGAAGATGAAGAGACACGAGGCAACGGAGGTATGGTTCTTCAGAAGGATGCTAAGGATATCATGGACCGAGCGTGTGAGCAACGATAAGCTTTTGGAGAGGATTCAAAAATGGAGGAAGCGTATACTTTACATCAGGAAGAGGCTGTTGAAATTTCTATGACACGTAATGAGAAAGGAGGGCTTAGAGAATCTGATACTCACAGGGCGGATAGAAGGAAAGAGAGGGCAAGACATATTGAGAGCTACAAGGGATAGCGAAAAGTGGAGAGCCATGATCGCCTGCATCCTGAAGAGACACGGTACATAGGACTAGGTTGGCAACTAGTCCTCGTCATTTTACAGTTGAAATGGATCCATATAACTGTAATTCTCGCTTGTGCAACTCTCTTGCTTGCTGGTCAGTCAACTTTGATCTTCAAAAATTTACATGCATTGTCAATCGGTATATTCTGCCTTAATTCCTGTTCTTTTATTGTTCTCTCTTCTTTTATCCTTTCTCTCTTTTCTTTTTCTCTTCCTTTTTCTTTGCTTTTTCTTTTTTCTTTTCTTTCTTTTTTTTCTTTCTTTTTCTTTCTTTTTTCTTTTTTCTTTTTCCTTTCTTTTCCTTTCTTTTCTTTTCTTTCTTTCTCCTTTCCTTCTTTTTCCTTTCCTTCTTTTTCCTTTCCTTCTTTTTCCTTTCCTTCTTTTTCCTTTCCTTCTTTTTCCTTTCCTTCTTTTTCCTTTCCTTCTTTTTCTCTCCTCTCTTTCTCTTTTCTTTTCTGTATCATACTCTTTCATACTCAGGCCTTGCGTCTTATTGTCTTGCTTAGGGTGAAATGATTTTTAAAAAAAATCTGCTTAATTCAACGTGGAAAGTAAAGAATTTAAACCCTGAATGAGTAAACTGTTTTACTTGCATTTTTATCACTATTTCTAATATATAAAGCTCAGATTTTGTGTGTATCCTTTCGAAACTTTGGAAATGAATTAAATATTGCCTGGCAATTATTCATATATTAACTCGAACAGAACATGGCACAAGGCCAAGTTTAAAGTGTTAATTCCATGCGAATAAGTTGAAACAAAAATTGCTCCGTTATTTGTACATTCTACCAAACTCTTATTCGGACATTTCAAATATCATTGACAGATTCTGCCTCTTCTTACAACATTAGAGATACAGCCTGGTGGGGGATGACCCTCAGAGACTGATCATATTTAAGCACATAAATACTGTGGTAATATCTGTGCGCCTACTCAAACAGCCCAGTTGAGAGTGTGACTTCGACGCGTACACGAGACCAGAGGTCGAATATAGTCCAATCTTCTCAGCATTTTCCATTTAGGGATGCCTTAAGCGTCTGAGATTAAATCTTCGCGATGATATATATATATATATATATATATATATATATATATATATATATATATATATATAGAGAGAGAGAGATAGCTATTTCCTTGGAGACGGAACCCTGAGACTAAAGTTATTAAGGATCACATAAAATTTTATTTATTTATTTTTTATCTGATTTACTTCTGTTAGAATATCTTATCGTGCACAGCTAAGCGGGTTTTGCTTGATGGAAAAAAAAACTATATTCAACTTTTTTTTCTTAATGGTTTTTCTAATTTAATTTTAAGTTATTCTGATGAACCTACTATATGTCTTGTAGTAAATCACTCCAGTATTTCGATCACAGCTTGAGTAAAAAATTCTCTTTCTCTCTCTCTCTCTCTTTTTTTCTCTCTCTTTAAGCCGCGTTTATTGCAATGTAATTCTCTTTATATAAAAAAATCCTGCAAAAACAAAATACTTTACTGAAAATTTATTTGAGGAATATTAACTGATTTATTTGAAACCTTTATTTTAGGTTTAAAATATTGAAGAAATGCATTTTTAACACGACGGTAGCGGTTTTATATAAGGTTTTTCTGCGGTAGCAGTATCTGTAAAAATAATTGAAGAATATAATGTGAGCGCCTTTTTTATATATTCAGTTCTCGGAAATCTTTAAAATTTAGGAAAATATTCTCCATAATCTAATGTCTTATTGAATTTCGGATACTTTAGCTTTCAATTTACTACAATTATCGCTCTTATTTTATGATAATATCATGTATAACCAACCGTATTTCCAACAAATCGGCACGTTTATAGACATACAAAAAAATTTTTTTTTTTTTAAATATAGGTGTTTGATTTGTACTACGCTTTTCCAAATCAAGGTTTTTGTTTTGTTTTTACCGCGAAAATTTATGCCCCTGCTGGCACAGAAAAAGATTTTTAACCAAAATTTCGAGCATGCTTAAAAGGATTAAAATTATAATTAAATAATAAAAAATACTTTGGTCTTTCCTCTTAGTCTTAATAACAAAGATTTTGACGATAAAACGTATTTTTTCATCATGGTATGCCTTTCTTCTCTTTCTTTTTTTCTTTAGCAAATTATTGCAGGTACCTACCATAATACCATACAAACAAATGGTAAGATTGATTTCTCATAATAGCGGAAAAAACGAATTAATTACTCTTTAAGAATCAAAACAAGCTTAGAAATTAAAGTTTTCATTGTTGGCTGAATTGTAGTATTCGCTTATCTCCCATCAGAAACTTGGCATGCAATGCATCACATTTCTTTAGTTTGACTACTGGTTGCAAAGGCAAGGAAACAAACAATAAAGTAGTTAAAACAACTTTATCATTTAGAATTCTATGCCTTTTGCCGATGAATGTAGTACTACAAATGGTATAGCTTATGGCATTCTGGTCTGATTAATATACATATATAGAAGAGAAAACTGAACTTTGCAATAAGTAAACCTCAAACAATTATAAACATAAGTTTAGGACAAGTGTTGAAATGGTCCTGGCTCGAGAAACTTCGCAAAGTCTGATCCACCAGTTTTTTTGTTTTTTTTTTTTCCGGGTCAATATTTTTAAAAAGCATAATTTTGTCTAAAACAAGGTCAAGTGCAGTGGAAGATTGTAATACTAATCTTCAAAATGGGGAGAACCTGCCTGGTTTGAAAACTGTTCAAATCCTGTGCGTATGTACTGTTTTTGTGAGCTCAAATGCGGTCCTCTGAGTGCGTTAAAAAAACATGTATTTCAGATATGAGACAGATTATTACCTGTTCAATATCTTGATATTTATTAAGACCAGTTTGTACAGCACACGACTTAATGATAGACAGAAGTAAAGACTGTCTTCTAAATAGATAGGGAATCGTTACCTTGACTCGAACAATATATGAAATATGAATTAATTTATAAGAAATTTCTTCATCATAAATGCTAACAAGAAAGTTCATCAGAACCGTAAAACTCGTGTCCTCAACAGTAAATTAAAATAAAAAAAAACAACTTTAAACAGTAAAAGTAAAACGTTTTATGTTTCATTCTATAAAAGTATCATTCTTGAGCTGCTCTGTATGTATGCCTCCCTTTCATCATCCGAGATTGCTTTTTTCCGAAAACCAGGTCCCCCTCTCTTTCTTTTTCTCTCTTTCTTTTTCTCTTTTTCTCTTTCTTTTTCTCTTTTTCTCTCTCTTTTTTTCTCTTTTTCTCTCTCTTTTTTTCTCTTTTTCTCTCTTTCTTTTTCTCTTTTTCTCTCTTTCTTTTTCTCTTTTTCTCTCTCTTTTCTCTCTTTCTCTCTTTTCTTTCTCTTTTTCTCTCTTTTTTCTCTCTTTTTCTCTTTTTTCTCTCTTTTCTCTCTCTTTCTCTTTTTCTCTCTTTTCTCTTCTCTTTTCTCTCTTTTCTCTTCTCTTTTCTTTTCTCTTTCTTTCTTTCTCTCTTTTTCTCTTTTCTCTCTTTCTTTTCTCTCTTTCTTTTCTCTCTCTCTCTTTCTTTTTTCTCTCTCTCTTTCTTTTTTTTCTCTCTCTCTCTCTTTCTTTTTTCTCTCTCTCTCTTTCTTTTTTCTCTCTCTCTCTTTTTTTTTTCTCTCTCTCTCTCTTTCTTTTTTCTCTCTCTCTCTCTCTCTTTTTCTCTGCGCGATGTTGATTGGTATTTAATCTGTGTGCTTGATACTAAACGTGAAATCGTTTATTATTGTCTGCTTTTAGCCTTTTTACAAAAAGAACTTTTGGTAACTTGGTCAAGCTGTAAACATCAAGAAGATATTTCCTGATGTTTACAGCTTGACCAAAATCACTTCGGGGCCCAAAGGTCAAAACTCCAGTGTAAGTTGTTTCTTACAAAAGAAGGAATGCGACTGGGAATAGGATCATGAAAAAAGTAGTTTGCGTGAACAGGACGCGTGGACAATTCTCCAAACAAATTTCAGAATTCTACTGAGAATTCCCAGAAAAATACTTTACAAAGAATGATGTTGAGAGTGTGCCGGTCTTCGGCATCACTATGCCAGCTGCTCGGCAGCGGACAAAAGAGACCACCAAATGATTAGAGATGCTGCTCCCCTTAGGAACATTTCTGAACTGTTACCCTCAGGACGACGTTTGAGTTCTATTATTTCTAAAGCAAAGTGATTGGGGAAAACTTTTATCCTTGGACCTTGAGTAAATTGAACCATACCGCACACTGACAATTTTCAACGTATTAAGTGTTATTACATTTCATTTGAAAGTGTTTTCTGTGTGTGTGTGTGCGTGAGCGCGCGCGCGCGCGCGCACACATCTGGGGATTGCTGTCCAATTCTAATGTGCCTTGCACAGTGAAAAGAAGAATAAATAAAGTCAGTGCAGCTGTCCTGGAATATGGTAAATTTCGTTCGTCATTTATTCTACATCCCATTTATATTTTTATTCCTGTTAATGTTCAATTTCTCCCCCCCTCTCTCGTATATTTCTCCCCTTTTTTCTCTCTCGTAGATTTCTCCCCCTTTCTCTCGTATATTTCTCCCCCCTTTTCTCTCGTATATTTCTCCCCCCCCTCTCTCTCGTATATTTCTCCCCCCCTTTCTCTCGTATATTTCCTTTCTCGTATATTATCCCCCCCCTTTTCTCTCTCGTATTTCTCCCCCCTTTTTCTCTCGTATATCTCTCGTATATTTCTCCCCCTTCTCTCTCTCTGTCTCTCATATATATATTTCTCCCTCTACTCTCTCTCATCTACTTTTCTCTTTTCTTCCTCCTCCTCCGTGCCATCAACTTTGGTCCTTTTCCTTCTATCAAATTTAATTCCTTTTCATACTCTCATCGCATTTTCAGTAGTAAGTTATATTTATAATGTAAATATAAAATTTATATAATAATATAAATATAACTTTTTTTTTTTTTTTTTTTTTTCTTCGTGAAGGTTTGTACTACATAGCCGCTATGGCAGTATGTTGGCGTATTTTCTTTAACGCAAAAACTATGATGTCTAGCCCCGACCACGACTGGGTCATCCTCCTCTTACACCACCCACATGTTAAACGTCTCTAATATTGCACGCGCCTCTAAGAAGTTACGCCTTTTGAGTTTTCTCTACATTCTCCTTATCCTTCATTTCCGCTCAAACTGTCTTCAATTTCACCCCATCCGTCTTAATTTAAAAAAAAAAAAACTTTCGCAACCTATCTGAGAATTTTTCAAACATTTATTTCTGTAAATTAAACTGAATGTTTGATTCGTAGTTAGAAAACCAGCATGCAGAATCCGTCTGTCTATTTAGGTCAAAATAATGATTACTTAGTGTTAACTCGCTATTTTCATTTGGCGAAAGTATGTGCATGTCGTTTTAACAGAAATGTTTGCGCGTGCCTTGGTAGAGGCCGCTTATATCTTTAATTTTATTTTTAACGATAAAGTAATAATTTTGTCATATTCCAAGCACCTTGAAAAGATATTAAACATTGAATATTAACGTACATCTGTACAAGGCTAAAATGAGTTCCGTTTTATTTTTATTTTATTTTTTATAACCCTTAAATAAATTTAAATAAATTTCCAGTGTAAGAGATTCAAGAGACTAAATCCAGCCTTTCATTTAGAATACAGTTGATCTGTTGGGCGCTACAAAAGAATTACCTTCTTCATAAAATAATTTTACTAACGACTTTTGAATAAAGAAGCCTCACCAACATCCAAAAAGCTTCTTTTTTTTTTTTTTTTTTTTTTTATACCAAATCTGTTATAATTTATAAAATACAGATATCAACGACTCAAAAATCCACATACGATAATACGCTATTTCATTGTCTTATAATTGCAGTTATTTAAAATCTGAATAAATTAAGATTTGGTGAAATGAACAAATTACATTCAAAATTCACGGTCCTTATGAACAGGAGTAGAGTTTATCCCTGGGTTTCCGGTTCCTTCTAAAGTATACTATTCTCAGCTCTATTCTCCTAAGACCTAACGCTTGTCCTTTCCTACACTAATTTAAGTCCACACAGTAACCCTCTACCGTGAGTGGCTCTTGGTCCTCGTATTGGGTGAACATTAGTGTAAAAAAAAAAAAAACTTATCTGCAGCTATCTCAAATTTTCATGTCTGAAAATATGATACCCGAGTTTTAAAAAAAAAAAACACGATTTTTTTTTTTTTTTTTTTTTTTTTTTTTTTTATGATTACTGAATGGAATGGAAAAACTCTGAAATTATTTCTAGATTTTAAGTACAATCAGAAATGTTTAAAAATATTGTTTACTTTGTAAAAACACACTCACTATATTGGCTAGGAAAAAGTCATAAGTTGCCGGTCATATAGCCATCTGTTTCTGTCTGGTACTTCACGAGTATGTCCGCTCTGTTTAGTTTGCAACAGAAATTCATAGTAAATCAATCCAACCTCTAAAAAAAAAACTTTGTTTAACAATGTTACGGTTATATATTCGATATATTTCATAGTTAGGGTTTTCTTCGTATCCCATAACATTCAACTCTATGAAAAAAAAAGTCTAAATTTGGCATTAAAATTTCCTTGAATTTTCAGTTTATTTAAGACTGGGATTTTATTGGGAAGAGTCAGTGCTAACATTATCCCGTTTTTTTTTGTTTTGTTTTTTTTATCTAAAATTCATTTAATTAGTTGAATTTAATAGAAATTTGGTATTTATATAAATGAGATACATTTTTTTAACGCGGTCTCCTTCAATATTTTAGAGAAGAATTTTTTCATGTGATTTTGCACCCCCACTACTTTTTCTGATTGTTCTAATACTCACGTATGTTAACTAATAAGATATTTTATATTTTGAATATAAAATAGTGTACATCCTAAATTTTTCAAACTGAACATTTTATTTCTTTAAATATTATAATAATTATCATCAAAAGCTCCTTCCTCCTTTCGACTCTGAGTTGTTTTTCGCCATATTGCAACCGCCAGTCATCCTCTTCCTCCCAGCTCAAGAATTCCTTATACGGGGAAACTTCTTCAAAACCCTTTTGTTTATGTATTCGTAATCTTAATCATAGTACCATAAATAAGTTATTTTTACACTTGTTAATGAGTTGTTGAGGTTAATTAAGTTTACCGTCAAAGCTTGTCTTTCACAAACATAGCCAGAACAGAGAGGAGTAAAGCCTGATCTTCGATAGTTCTTTCATTATTTTTAAGTCGTAACGATAAAAAAAATTAAAAATGTATTTGAGATTTTCTTACATTCTTTAATCAACACTGCATTTAAGAGAATGTTTTCCTGTATTAACTTTTTAAAAATGATTTTTCAATCTTGGAAAAAAAAAATCCTGAAGGTAAAAAAAAATATTGATTTTTTTATTACAGGTCACTATACTAACAAACGGAAGCAATTCCGTTGTGGCTGTCTGTCAGGCTTGCCGCTTGCTTGACACTTTTTAATGTTTTCTGAAATATAATTTGGTAATCTTATTGGTGTGTAGTTAAATCAAATGAAGAATATTCTCTATAAAATAGTATTGCTGTTACAATTATTTTTATTTGTTTACAACATTGAGATACTTCGATGAGATTGCTAAAAAGAAAAGTATAGCATGATAAAAAAGACGCCAAACTTGACGAAAACAAAATTTTATCGTCAAACAAAATGTTTATTATTAGAGGGAATAACAAAGTATTGATTATTTTTATTGATTTAAAAGCACAAGTCTTTGAGGAAAGCAAATATTTTTTTTAATCGGACCACCTCTATTTGAAAATAAGCTCTGATTTGTAACCTACAAAACTCGATAAAACAAAGATATTATTTAATTTCAAATGTTTTAGTTGTTTTTATGAATATTGATAATATTGTCTGCAAGAAAACCTTTTTCGGCGAAAAATGAATTTTTAAAACAATTATTTTTTAAATTTATATTATTTTTACATTAAAGTTTTTAAAATATTCTAAAATTAGCGAAAATGGTGTACAGTTTAGTTTAGTCAATGGTGTTAGAGATCTATCTTCTACAAATTATAAATTGTAAAGCTTATTACAATCAACGGACCACCAGTGTATTAAAAATCCAATTTCGCATGGCTATTGTGTCCATAAAACGGCTGTAATTTAAATGTACGGAAGACCATAAATGAAAACAAAACGTCACGTTAAGCGTTGTTCCGCCCTGTTATGGTCTTTATTTTTGTAAATTTTTCGTGCGAAACACGCGTGGAGAAGTTAATTTTATTTTTCACTTTCAACTGAGAATGGTACCTACAAGTATTAGGTACCTATCTAACGAAATTTATCACCGTTATGACTTTTTTTTTTTTTTTTTTTTTTCATAAATGAAATATTAAAATTAATAATGAATGGAAATACAAATAACACAGTAAAATGTACATAAAATTATAGTATTTTAATGACACTTATTATAAAATTTCATAAGGTACCTATCTTATGAAATTTTATCTCACTCACAAGTCTTATTTTAATTTTTTTTATAATATATTTTCCATAAAGCAACGTAAAGGTGAAAGCTAAGTACAAAAAAGTAAAACAAAAAAAATTAGAGCGTTGAAAGATTTTCTTAAAAATAATGAGGTAAATAATTGGTTCACTTAAATCTAAATAATTATGTCACCCCTGCCCTTTCGTACGATAACTTTCCCTCACGTAAGCTGTCAATACGTGATGAAATCATCACTTGTCAAGTGACACCAAATGTTAAAACCTGCTTTGTCTTATTTTTAAACTACATTTTTTTCGGCGCAGAAAGTAATTAATGTTTGTTTCAAAATATTTTAAATTTTATAATTTCTAATTTTCTTAAAATAAATTTTGAAAAATCATAATTTTTTTTTTTTTTTTAAATGAAAAAATGTTGACGTGATAGATTTTCTGTCGAAAACAAGATTTTTAACAAAAATTTCGGACATGCTAGGAATGATTAAAACATGTAAAAAAAAAAAATACTTTGATATTTCCTGGTGATAATCACAGAAACATTGGGACAATAAAAAATTATTTTCATCAAGTTTAAGCCCCTCTTTCACGCTGTGCTATTTTTTTAGAAAATTTTATCGAGGTACCTATGTATAGTCTCTCACACACACACACACACACACACACGTTTGTAATAAGTGTCCAGATTATTTACTTGGAAAATACAAGTGTCTGGAGATTTCTTACCTTGATTTTTTTATTTTTTTTCTCGAGTGCTAAGAGTTAAATGTTACAATTAATACTTGAAAAAGAGTCGAAATTTTCGTTGACGCATGTGTTGACGGCCTGTCCGTGTTGACTTCTTATCTGATAGCTAGTATGTCACGTGTTTGTGTGTGTGTAGAGAAGAAAAGTAATGTCGATTCTCATTGGTTTAGAATAAGTGAATTGATGGTAATTAAAATTTTTTTTTATTTACGTATTTTTTATGGACATGAGACTGTCAATCAGATTGCAGCTATTGTGATTTTAGGCCGATTCAGGAGAAAAGCCTTATATTGTAGCCATTTAATTCAAATTTTATAAATTTATTTTTCTTTTGTAAAACGCAAACTTTGGTAATGTTTGACGTGAAAATAAGAACACATAATTTTTTAAATTAATATTTTTCGACAAGATATAAGATTTTCTTTGAAGATACCAATTAATAAGATAGGAATGTCTATTGAGTAGGTACCTACTTAAAAGTTAACGTACGAAGATAGTTTTTTAAAAAAAATGTTATTTAAAACATCAAATTATTAATCTGCCTAGATTAATCTTTTAAGCATGTATATAGCTATTGGACATTTTATATTCAACTAAAACACTTTAAAATTGAGCTGAGTCGAGTCGAGCACTTTTTTGTTAAATATTCACGCGCATTTTGTGTTTACTATGGCGCCCGCACGTGAGATATACATAAAGATAGCGTATCACATAGTTAGTCACAATCCAAACAAATGCGATAACGCAGGCGGGTGTAACAGTCCGAGACACAGTCATTAAAATGTTTTTCCTGTTTTTCCTTACTATACGAAAATTTTCTTAAAAAGACGAAAGTGATATATAAAAAAAAACAAATCTTTGTTTTGATTGATTTTATTTTTACTTTGTTTAACCTTTGCATGTTAAAGCCAGGAAATATTTTTAGATTGTAAGAATTTCTTTTTCTTGAATAATGGTTTAGTGCTTACCCATAGCTTAGAGGGAGAAGAAGTGAATTCATAACTTTCCCAAGGGTATTTGCATGTAGGTGAATATAACGAACCCAACGGGAATTAGAACTCTGCTCTCCGACTTCTAATTCTAAGCCATTATCAATTGCACCACCTGCACATCCAAGCTTATACAGCATCTGATATTCCTACGCGGTAACCCATCTAGGTACTGATCTGACTCTACGTTGCTTAACTTAAGTGATCGTACGGGTACTGATTTTTCAACATGAAGTAGCCACAAGCCACCATTTTTGTAAAACAACCTCAGCAATTTCAGGAATATAAGTATTTGGCATTTATACTTTGTGCTGTCTTCTTTTCCTTTTTGAGTGAGTCGAATAAGGCAAAATTTTCACCCGCTCAACCCTCCATGATTTTTAGATTAGATTTCATTTGAAAACTTAGAACTATTAAAGTTTGAATCTCGCTGCTTCCAGCACGGCGCCACAAATTAAAATATGTGCGTCTATCAGGTGGAGTTAAATCAGATGTTAAATTTTAGATTTCCGATTCTATTTTTTTTTTTATTTTATCTGTTCCTCCGATAATGATTTTTTTTAATATCTATTTTTCTTACTGCAAACATTTTTTTCTTTCCATTTGTACTTATTTTCTGAAATTAGATTTTTACATTTTTTTTATGATATAAGACTTATCTAGAAATTTTAGAATGTAATGTTTCGAAAAGAAAATTGTAAATGAAGTTTTCTTATTTGAAAACTATGGGCAATAATGATTTTAAACAAATGATACAGTTCAGCTTTAGAGCAAAATCATAAATTAAGACTTAAAAGGTATTTAGTTGTTGCGGGATTCTATGATGTTCGGACAAAAATAAGTCACCACTATGTTGTGGGAATCAACATTTTGAATATGAGGTGTGATTGTTTTACAGTAAATATTTATGGGATCCTGGAAAATTTATCCCGTAAACAATATTGGTGGACTCATGTGAGTCTGGGTAAAAATAAACACAAAACAAAGAAGTTTAAACAAACTGCAATAATACGCACGTATCAACAAAAGTAATTGTACTTGTACACAACTGAAATAAAAGGAAAAGACATTGAAACTCACCATAAGAATGTGTGTTTTTGAAACAAACGTGTTAATACACGTGTGTGTATGTGCATGTGTGAAAGAGTTCAGTTAACAGAAGATCAAGGAAGAGAACGCACCCCGCCTGCAGCGTTCTTTATCCACGTTCGACTACATCTGGAAGCATGAGGAAAAAAGAGAAAGAATATACTTTCCTTTTTATAGATTTAAGTAACACCAAGTTGGGTAACCCACATAGCATTGTTTAGTGGCCGGTGTCAGGAAAACGTGAGGTGACTGTGTGGATGTACTTTTTTTTATTTTAATTCAAAATTTAATGTCAAGTTGAGAAATTAATAATCGATATATACACTTGTATGTACAACTAAGTTATATCCGGTACTTCACGAGTTTATGGGTCCCGCTATGTTTGCAACAGAAATTCATAGTAAATCGTTCTAACATCTAAAAACATTTTCTAACAATACTACGGTCACATATTCGATGTATTTTAAAGTTTGTGCCACAACGTAAACAAACCACGGAAATCGTATACGAATTGTGGTGAATACGAAATAAAAAATAAAAAAAACTCTTTCCTTTGTTTTCAAATTCGCGAGCCTATGAAAAAAAATTATTTTGCCCAATGGAAAAAGGGATTGGCTCCGTGCTGAAGAAAATACCAAAGCAGAGTTTAATGAGCCTATGTGAAGATTTATTTTGACAATAGAAAAGCGGGCGGCTTACAAACTGAGAAAAAAGTAACAAGCCGACATGAAATCGCCTTTTTGATATAAATAGGCAGAGAAAGTTGAATCAAGACAGAGAAAGAAAAAGCAGAAAGAAACAGGAGGCATAAAGCCAGAGTTCCACGAGTCTGAATACTGCCGGCGTCAAATTATACGCTGATACATTATCATTCTCTGAGAGCAGGACAATTTCAAAGAACTCTATTCAACTCCAAAGCTAAGTACCTTTAAAATATATCTTCATTTATGCTGAGTACAACCGTATACATTTTATGTGAAAAACGAACCCTCTCAATTTGTTTTAGTAATTTTAGAATATTTGTGTCCGATAATTTAATATGAAAATTTTTTTCTTCATGTCGAATTAAGGGCTTAGTTTTTATTCGCGAAATAACTTTAAGTTGAAGTGTGTGCTGGATATTACTTATTGTCTCAATTTGACATTAAAATTTGAAGTAAAAGTTCCTTGAATTTTCAATGTTAAATTTTTGTTTCTTTTTATACATGAGTTTTAATTTTATTTATATGAAACTGGGATAAGAACCCGGGATTTTGTACGTCGGGGGTGGGGTGGGGAGTTGCCCGCTGTTTTTTTTTTTTTTTTTTTTTTGTCATGTTACTTACTATAGCTGCCATTTCATAATTATTATGCTTTTGGTTTAAAGATTTATTTATACAGTGTAACCCGGATATAAGAGTTGTCGGGACCGGAGAAGTCTCTTATATCCGGGTTTCTCTTATATCCGGGTTACACTGTATGATAAAATATTTTTCAATGTTGTACACATTTATTTTTGTTAGTAGCAGCGAATAAATTACGACTAAAAACACAAGATATAACAATCACAAATTTAGAATCCAAATTTAACAACTAATAAAATACGTGTCACGTAAAATAAATTAAAAACGTATAGTCAGTATTCATCATGGCACGGAAATAAAAGGACATCTAAAATCTGTCCTTTCAATGAGAATTATATTGATTATCAACACATTTGATGCAGGTTTAATAATTTTACACTTTTTCGCAAAAAGAAATGAAAGCGCATGTCCAATTACAAACGATCATATCTAATTGATTTCTTCTTTTTTCTACTGTCAACTGTTATCGACTTTTTTAAAACTATATTTGTTTTAAATCAGGTCTGAGAAATTTCATTTCTTAAAAAAAGAAAGGAAAAAAAACACTAAGAGTACAAGAGCGAAGGTCACGTCTAAATAAAATTATAATTTAGATCAGTTTCAGAAATGAACATCTTGTGTCAAAATAAGCATTCAAAATCATATCTTTTAACTAGTGAAGATTGTCTCGCTAGAGAACCATTACAACTGAGTAGGGTGTCCGATCCTCACTGGGTGCCCCATGCTTTCGGCCTTGTGCCACATTTAAGCTCCACCCTATCTTTAACCAGGAATACTAACTTCTTAAAATGAAAATGTTGTGTTTGGAGTGTCCAAACCAGGAACCGCGGACCCTGTAGACAGGTTCATAAGGGTGGGGGTCTGCGGACCTACAAATTTGATAAATTTGATATTTTTCATTCTGTGGTTCTCAGTTGGGGTTCATATGCAGCCTAGGGGTCCACATAAAAATTATTGGGGTCCATGATAATATTTCACTTTGCAACGGTTGTTACAACTGAGAATTGCAATTTTGACAATCTACGCCATATTGAAATACTAAATATAGAAAAACAATTCTAAAAACTATCAGAAAACGAGATCAATTGATGTATGTTAACGTCACTTTTTTTTTTCTCTACTGGATGTTTTGATTGTAAAGCTTGAAAGAAAAATTTTATAATGATCATAATTTATAATATAAATAATATTAATTTTAAATATTAATATAAATTAATATACTATAGACTCGACATTGTAAAAAGGGGTGATTTTCGACTATCATTGACATCGATGGAGCCGAATATAAAAAGAAAAAAAAACTCGCAGAGCAGCAGGAAGTATGGTGGAGTTATGGAGAGTGGCTCCGATTGAAGAATCGGAGAGCCGAGTTCGAATTCAAGTTGAATCCATTACATTCACTTACGTGCTAATACCCTTGCGAAAGGTAGGAATCCTCTTCTCCCACTAGCTATGGGTAAATAGCAGGACAGACCGGTCCTTGGATGGCAACTGGTCTACCGCAGAAAGAAATGGCAACCTACTGCTGGAACAAGATTAGAATTAGAATCTTAGATTAGAATTAGAATTTTAGATTGAAACAGAACTGTTTGCATTAAGTACAGCTTAAAAATACGAGCAATTTTAAAAAAAGAATCAAGTTATCAAAATGCGGGACAATCCCACATTTTATCTTTTGACCTAGGCTCAAATCACAGCCACTATCGCAACGACTAAACAGGCTTGCAGTATGCTCAAATCGTCGGCCAACAGCCGTAAAGTTGTGGGTAGATACACTTAACTGTACCAAATTCCCTAACGGAAGTAGTTAACCTTCAGGTGTCAGTTAGGTGTTAATGTATGAAGGTAGAAGTACCAAATGCTTCTGAAAATGCAGTAAACTCTTTAGAGATACAAGGGTAGATAAAGAAAAGTTAAACTTGCTAGTAAACAAAATGGCGGGTGGGAGTCAAGCGAGAGATAACACACGCAGAAGCTCGTATCTTTCTCCTGTTTTTCAGTAGTGAAGCAAAAATAGTGACTTGATATAAAATTTATATCAAAACATTATTTTTTCTAGTTTATAGAATAAACTAGCATCAAATTAGCAGCAATGAAATGTAAGGCGGGGTAGACTCCATTTAGAACAGACTGTGTACATCGTGTTTGAAAACTTTTAAAAAAAAAATTGTAACATTTAGTATTGGCGGACTGTGGTGGGGTAGGGGTGGTGAAAATATGGTAACAAGGCAAAATCTCAGCCTCATAAACAGTCTTCGACTCACCTCTCTAAAACTTCTCTCTGTTAAGGTTTAATCTCCCACCTTCTCTCGTCTGTTACCCCTCTCTTTAGCTCTAACATTCGCCCCACACTCTCATACTTACACTCTCTCTAAATTCTATTTTTTATTTCCGGAGTTGTTTGTTTTCTTTTTGAATTTGTAGGTCTGATGAATTGGATCGTATTTACGATTCCAATGGAATAAATTATGACCATGGAATATTAGTGTTTAAGCCTTTTTATATTTATATATATAATATATATATATAATTACAATGAATCGTTCATACAAAAAGTAAATTAGTAAAGTTAAGTCGCAAATTAACCTACAAATTAACCTAAAAATTCTCAAATTACCATATTAGTAAAAAACGCACTCTCTTAAATTTTCAAAAAAAATTCAACCTTAGCGTTGCGACTGCACGCTCCAAACGTTTTTATCCGTTAACAATAACACATTAAAAAAAAAAAAAAAAAAAACATTTCGATTCGCATGTTTCTTTCGTTTCTGATATTCCCTGGATATACTAAAAACGAAATAATTTCCATG